CACCAAGTCAAAGCTGGCTGTCTCTAGCATTATTGGACAAATGCATCAAGTCATATTGCATCATATTTCACATTTTCAATGAAATTTTGATATGAATTGAGATTTCACTGAATTTCAGTGAAAGATTTAAACAAAATGTACCAAAATTTCAGTAGTATTTTGTGAAATGTCAATGGATTTTGGGGTGAAAATTCAATGATATTTTTGTAAAATTTCAATGATATTTTGGATTTGGTTGGTGTGCAAAATTCTGTTAAATAAAAATTCTGTGTGATATCTATCATTGATCTGTTGGTATAAAATATTAATTTACAGTCTTCAAAGAAACATCTGTTCAGTGGGAGATTTTGCATTTACTATAAATACGTGACCAAATCTAGCATTCGACAGTGTATCAACAAGTCTTTATAAATATAATATAAACAGGTCTTGATAACGTTAAAACCATGAATAACCTATTATGTTCCGCTCTGTTGATTTCAGTTATGCTTATTCTTACAGACGCCGGTAAGTATATTATTTATTATCTAAAAGTTGCTTTATGAATCTAAAGTCAAAGTTTGTATATCTGGGCGAAATTTATGTTAGCTTTTAGGGGGGGGAGGGGGGTAGTGTATCGAGTCAGAAGTAAATAATGGCAACAAATAATATCAAAATTAAATTTACAGGTTGTTTAACGTATCCTAATATAACAGACGCAAATTTTGATAAAGATTGCAATGGAAATGTAGTCATTACATGTAATGAAGGTTTCAAGATGGTACAAGGGCTGGAATGTGTTGAGGAAGAATGGAGATATCAAAACCCAATATGTAAACGCACAGGTAAGATAATTTTAAATACTTGAATTACAAATAAACAATATTAGCTTTGACACATCAAATCACCCAGTGAAGAGTTTATATCACCTTCCTCGATACATGTTATAATACATTATATAGTGGAATTCAAATCAATAAACTTTATGAAACAATCTGGAGAGCTTAACATCATTAGATTAAAGAATATTATTGTAGCGGGCTCATTTCTTCAATCAAAATAGATAATTAACAGATTACCCAATTTGATTGATTTTGGTGTCAATGGAAAGTACAATCGATTGTCAAGAAGTTGTATTTACCTGGTTTTTAAATTTCAATTCCATTGTATTTTAATACCAGATTTATTTTTTTGAAAATTACATTCATGGTTTGTATTTCGTGACCTTGACTTTTGTTGATTTTGTGACCTAAATAAAATTTTCTATCAGACGTCTGTTCCTGTAATCCTACTGAAACTTAGTGTTTGATGACGTTACTATCGCTAAATTTGTTTCTGGGCGCAAAAGAAGTACAGTTTTCATCTTTCATCTGATTTAAATGAATTTTCGTGTGATCATATATATTGATGCGATCTTGGACAAGCTCTTTTTGACAATTTTTCGATGAACAGTTTCGATTTACCACCATTGACTAAAAATTCGTAATAAATAGTTACAGATGGGTTTTCTTATATTTTAGTGTCAAATTAAGCAAACTATTTGAGTAATTGGTGTTTCTAATGAATTATCATGTATTCTTAATCATATCATTATGTTCTTATTGTATAAAATTAAGAGTTTTAACCAATCATAAATGTCCATGTAAGTACAGTCTGGATAAACAAAAAAGGACTTTTTGACCTTTCTTGATCGGTCACTCATTGGAATTCTGCTGGTAATTCTCTTCTAATTTAGCTAATAATGAGTTAATTATGGACATATGAGACAAACTGGTATTTTTCCAAGTCATTAGAACACCACTACTTTCTATTCATATAAGTATTAGCATTTTCATTTTCATAAATGAAAATAAGGCAACCCATCTTTAAACCACCGTGTATGTTTTTACCATCATTAAAATAGTTTTTGAGTTTATCACCATTTGTATCATTGTTAGTGATTATTCCGGATTGTAAAAATGGTAGAATATTGACGGCAGAAAATGGAACATTAAAATGTAACTGTCCACTAAACACATTCGGTGACGATTGCAGTAAGTACAAATTAAAAAAAGTAAATTTACCAATCTCTCCTCGCTCGTCTAGTCGTTCAGATTGGACAATAAACTTAGGCACCATGTGCTTCAGGCTGTACACGATAAAGATATCTCGACAGTTGGAAATCGAACAAGAGTAGGATAATGCCGGTCTCCTGGTAAAAATTTCCCTCATTGCACACTGCATGGCGTTGCCCGTCTTCAATCATTAGCCCACATGGTGCAAAAAAGTAGGACGTAAAGCGAAATTCATTTCATTTTTCAGAATGTCGATACAAGTATTCAAATGTAACAGATTTGGATCCCTTTGCCTACGAATTGGACACTGCATGGCGTTGCCCGTCTTCAATCATTAGCCCCCATGGTGCAAAAAAGTAGGACGTAAAGCGAAATTCATTTCATTTTTCAGAATGTCGATACAAGTATTCAAATGTAACAGATTTGGATCCCTTTGCCTACGAAGGAATTTCAGTATCTGATTCAGCGGAATGTGATGAAAACTGTGCTAACGATACCAGATGTTCCGCTGCTACCATAACTGGGGGTACATCATGTGTAAAGTACGATACACCAATCATCTTCGTGTTGTTGAATGGTAATTACCACCAATGTAATGAAAAGTGCAACGAGATGAGTGAATGTAAAATGTTTGGCATTGAAAACCAATTTGGTTTTTCCTGTTATTTATTTAACGTTACCTACGACAAGATTCCAAATAGTATGAAAGCAACTTACCAAACCGAGTTTAACGTA